TGTTGAGGTTGCTAAGGATTTTATATTTCGCTTCACTTTTTCACACTGTTATTCCCTGCTGAATCCTTCAGCAGATCTCTATGACTTTCAAGATAAAATCAAGTTCTTCAGTTTAGCCTACGAGACCATTCATAACCCCTGCCTCTCCCTTATGTGAGCTTTCTAACCTAGTGGTCACAAATGATTTGCTGTTCCCTGCTGTTTCATGCTGTCCCAAGGACATGTTCCTGCACACATGCCTTCGTCTAGGTGGTGGGCCTTCTGCCTGGTCTCGCTGAGCTTCTGTGTTCAGCTGGTCATTGATGGCCTTGTGCTGGCTGTCTGCTGGGGTGACAGGGGTAACCAGACCTCATGTCTCTCATTATCAAGTAAGCTAAGTCAGGCTTGCTTTCATGATGGTCTCAGAGTTCTCCAGAACAGCAAGAGAGCAGGCTCCAATGCACAAGGATTGTTCAAGTCTCTGCTGGGGTCACATTTGCTCTTGTCCCATTAGCCAGAGCAAGTCACAGGGCCAAGACCAGAGTCAATGTGTGAAGAAACTGCAAAGGCTGTGGATAATAAGTGGAACACACTACTTAGCCTTCTAGATTTTACCTTCTCTTTGTTAATCCATTCACTCATTCATTCCACAGTCTTTATGAATACCTAAGCAAAGCCCTAGGCAAGGCACTGAGGATATAGAGATTTTTCTCAGTGCCTGGAATTTATGTTCTAAGACAGTCACTCAATGACTAGCACATTCTGTAAAAGTCAGACCAGGATTTGTGGAAGTCCCATGAGGTAAGATGGGCCTCAGGAGGTCTGTCTGCATTCTTCACCATTTCTGCAGAAATCGCTACCTTGCTATTCAGAATTGTATATTAATAACCACTTTTCCCATAAGAGTAATCAGAAACCAAGATACAGAAACAAAATTTTAAATATTTTCAGTGTGTATGTTTTTAAAACCATGACTGAAATATTACTGCATTTCTTTGGGAACCGATAAATTCAAGCATGAAACTGTGTGATAACAGCATTTCCACTAAATATGCAGATGTCAAGGTGTGTTACAGGTGAGTTACAGGAGCAGTTAACATTTCAATCCTTAGGCTCCAAGTTGTTCACCTGTTCATAAGAAAAAATAGCTGCCTGTAACTTCAAATTCATATGTGCAAAAATTGCATAGACCAAACGTTCAAATGAAAATCCTCTTAGAGACAACTACCTAAAGCTTCCATATTAAGAGTATTTATTTTTCTCTAGGATTAGAACAGATTGCATTGGCAGCCTGGTCTTTCATAAAGAGGGGGGTGGGGAATAGACTTGGGCCTTCATTTTCTCACAAAAGGCACAATGTGAAGCGCATCTGTGAACATTGCATAATTTGTTATGTTCTACAAAGAGGTGGGTTTTTGTTGTACACATACCAAAGCTATTTGGTCCCGTTTCACCAATGATCTCTATTCAGGTCCAGAAAAGAAATTGGCCTCAGAAGAGGGAAAGGAAAGTAAATTTTTCTTTAAAAATTAGATACAGATTATCACTTCAAAATGCAGGAGGGAATTTTACAAGTGCCGGTGTACTGATTAGCTTTCCAATGGACATCCAGCCCTTTATTAAACACATGCTAGCTGTGGTCAACTGTGACCGATGTGGTTTATTACTCTCCAGAAGGGCTGAACTGAAATCACCCATCTAATTTAATTGAGAAATGTTGGATGAACTTGAACTGTTTCATGGACATGAATGACCAGAGAATTTATTTGATGAGACATTAAAGGCTGAATACGGTAACTATCTCTTTGATGGTTTAGTACAGTCGATTTGTTTGTTCATTTTCATTACTACCTGAGCAACCTAAATGAAAAAGGCAAAAAAATAAAAGTTTTTGTACAGCATCATTACAAAAATTACCAACCTTCCCTTTATTGGTAAATATTCGTGACCGCTTTTAATGTAGTTAACACTTTTCAAAGTGACATCAGCTTTCCAGTAAAGGAAGTTCACAGTAATTAAATGGTGAAAAACATTAATAAGTCCACTGGGATTTTTCATGTGATAGTCCCTAAATTATTTTCAAAATGTTGTCTTCTGACTTCATTCATTAAGACAAAAAAAAAAGCCTTTAAGAAGTTAGCATGTTATTCACCAAACAAGCTCCTTTGCATTTCCTTGTAAACTGGGCAGTGTGAGCTGTAATTGGTGACCTCACAATGAAACATTTATAGTAACTTTATCAAGTGTATGGCACAGAGGTGGCATCAGATGACAGTGCTTTCTCTTCACGTGTGTCTGCTAACATTTAAGGTAGATTCTGCTTTTTTTCCAATGACTAATGCTGGGGCATAACTTGGAGATATATACCTTTTAAAAACTATATTAAAATATTATATATTTTAAATTATCCACAGAAAGTCAGAGCTGGAAACTCAAAGAATAAATTACAAAGTCACACTTCATGTAACTAGTGACTCTTTAAATGAAATTTTTCATTGAAACTTTGTCATTAAAATAGAAAGGGCTTTGGCTGTGCCCATACAAGCATAATAAATTGTATATGTTTGTGATACTGAATGACTTTTACCCATATGCTGCACTGCAAAGCTACATGAATGAGGCATTTACCAAATCAAGCCCACCACATTAAACAGAAAAACAATCTTTATTCATGGTAACTTATCAGTTTCAATTAATCAACCCTAACAATGGAAATTCTGATGTGTTCAAGCAACTTGAAAGCAATAGGTCATCTCCAGGGCAGCATTGTTGTGTCTTTGTGCTGAAGGTTTCAAACAAAGCAACATCTTCAATAAATACACATGCATATACATACATACATGTGCATATATATACATACAAATGGACAGTTACAGCTGAGCCCTGTGGTGCCAACAAAAATGCATGTGTATTGTTTATTATTTTTATCATAGCACATGTAATTGTTTTCCCTCAAGTATTACTTTTTGAGCTCTGCAAATTTAAACAAAAGGAAAGAAATTTCCATTGGATGACCATCCTTTCAGTTTCTGTACTGCTATGTGAATAGCATTGTGCAAACCATTCCATTGGTTTTGAAAAGGGGTAACCATTGGTTTGATTTGGTTACACGGTTTAGTAAAGAGCTCCCTCCCACTGCCTTAGGGTCTGTGAAAGGTCTGTGACCTGTTTAGAACTGCCAAGTGAAATGTCATGTCGCCCCTCCCAAATGGGAGTATCTGCATTCATTTGATCAGTATAAAAAATGATTGGGGATGGCGAGATCAGTGCTTTTGAATTGCAATTTATAGCAGTTTACAAAAATGCACATTGTTGGAAAAGAAAACATGGAAGTGTTTCTTTCTAAATTGCATTACCTGTGAAATGTCATTAGTCTTTTAAGGATATTTACATCCTTTTTTTTATTATTATTTAGGAGACTTACTTCAACTAAAGCAAATCAGAATTTTATTACGTTATGATTTTTTTAACTTGTATTTTGGTTTTAGTGATAGAATTTTTTAAAAAAACAATGTTTCTGAGTTATTCATATAAACAATTTATCATGTCCATTTATTGATTTTCTAAGATAATCTTTGTTAATGAGTTGTATTAGTAGAAGATTCTTAATTATCTTTCCCAGATTGTTCAGGAGATTTATTTGTTGGTAAATTCCTTGTCTACTGATTTCTAATAGACTAAACTCTCCAGTATATTTAACTCTAGCAAGTTTCCACTATTCCTTCAACATTGTACTACCAGAACTTCTTTGTAAGATGAGTACTTTTCTAAATTATGGAACCCGTTGACTCATCTACATGTATGCATAGTTTTATAAAAGGGAATTTCATTTCTTTTCGTTAAACGTGCATAAGAATACACGAAGCTTATCCAGAAAGTTTAGGTAGCCTGTTCAAGTTCATAAGGACTGAATGAAGCCTCCTGGAGTTTCTGGGGTGCAGAAAACAATGCCCTTTTTGCTATTTCCAGGCATCTCACAAGCTCCATATCTTTATGGCAGTGCGTAGTATTGGACATTACTTTAAAGAAAGCTTTGAGTAAGAAAAGTTACCTTGGGAAAAGGCCCTTGGGGCTTTCCTGGTTGGTACTCGACTAGAAAAAGAAAGGCCCTTCTGCAGAAAAGACTTGACCCAGATAGGCTCTGGAGCACTCCACTTTGAACCTCCCAACCATTGAAATCCGAGGTTGTCACGTTTTTATCTTTGTTCATGTTAAGCCTTGGAATGACAGCCTGGCTCCTCTGTGTTCCCCTCTCCCATTGCCTGGCTGTAAGTGTCCACATTGACACCTACCGGTGACCGCAGGCTGCAATGCTTTGTTGCCTTCTCCACGCTCCCGGCTTTCAGTGGGATTAGCCCAGGGCCTTTGTTCCCCTTCAAAGCTGGAACATCACATCCCATGTTGTGGCTTTCCTGTCTCAGACCCCCAACGCTTTCCTCACAATTTACGCACCAGGTAAATGTTCCTCCCCACAGGGCAGAGAGCCCAAACCGTTGAGGTTGGGGGTGGGGACATCTTCCCATTCCCCAGTTTCAGAGCCCAGGGCCAATGTGGTTTTCTTTCCTTCTCATTCATAATTTTCTATTTCACATGGAAGAAAGATTGCAAAGCAAATGGAAATTTAAATCTTGGAAAAATCAAATCCCTGGGTCCAAACACAGACAACTCTTCCCACTTTTTTTTATTCTGTTACAATGGCTTCAGTAGAATGTTGAGTACCGGCCTTTATCAGGGGCAGCTAAGACCATTCCTGCAGTCTGGGGCTGCTGGAGAGCTCCAGACTGTCTCAGAGCAAAGCTTGGCTGGCACACGCTGTCTAGAAGGCCAAGGATAATCTGCCTGCCTGCCCTACCTCCTTCACCACCTCTCTTCCAGGTTCCTGAAGAGGCTCCCAGCTAGGGCCAGGGCTGGGAGCACCCACTAAAAAGATGATGCAAAATGCTATGGGGGAAGAGTGGGGAGCGGTTTGTGTATGGTAAGTAAAACAAAGTTTATGTCTGTCCACCTTTCTTCATGTTTAGGGAAGTTGTCGGAATCCCCAAAAGAAGAGTCCTTGGAGGAAGCATCCATGCGCCAGAGCAGCCCCGCGGAGACTGTTGATTAACTGAGCAGAAGCCAGGGCTGCACAGACGGGGCCACAGAAAGAGTGGCCTCACCATCCTGGTGTAAGGTGCCTCCCTCTCAAAGGATACTATCTCCAAGGATTTTCTAAACTAAGTGTTTAATCTCTCCGGATTATGTACATTAACCAGCACTGTGCTGGAATAGACCTCAATGCGCGCCTTGTGCGCGCTCCTTTCCACGCCTTTAAGGAAAGCGCTGACTGGTGCTGGGTGAGCAGGGCGCACCGATCCATTCAGGTGCTCCCGGGACTCAGAAGAGCCCAGGCGTCTAAGAGTGGGAAGGAACGGACTTTAATTAAAAAGTTTGACTCCCTCTCTAATTCATCCAGTCTTTCTATACCAAAAACATCAACCTAATTTGCTGTCTCCTCGCCCAATAACTAGTCCCCATGAAGGTGGGTCATAAAGACTAGAGGGAGATCGTACATTTCCTCAAGGAAGATTCATTCTTATCTTACCTCGGCACAGGGCACCTAGCCGCATCTTAAAGACTGTCAGAAATTCTTTAATAAGTAGGGAAACTCTTTGGAGTTTTGCTTCCTGGTAAGAATGCAAACCAAGATTCTGCTGGAATGCCAGACACCGTTTACCAAAAGGCGGGTTTGCTTTTCTTCCATGCGTAATGTCCAACTTGGTTCTTTCTATTCCCCTAACTACAAGTAATCGTGGGCTCTGGATTACAGAATTCTAAAGTTATTTATTAAGTCTCAAGAAATATATTTATGGTAGTTGTCACATAAAGCTGATATACTTTAGTTCAAAAGAAAGCTGCAGAGGCGATTTATTTGTGCGTAAAAGGAACACGATTTAATTGGAGAGAGACGTGTTATTTTCAACGCAAGTACACGGGATGGTACAGCGCTGTGGAGCATTGTTCGAGCTTCATCTACTATGCACTATATGCCGCTGTCTCCAAAGGAGTGTTGCCCTAGAAACTTGTTTTAAATCTGCTGCTATATATCAACACCTTGTTTTAGCAGTCCTTGGCTGAATTACAGTTACACAGTTTGGCGCTTCTTTCAAATTTCCTCCCATCAGTTTGGCTAAAGAAAGGAATTTTTCTCCTTTAGAAATGAATTGGCTTAATTAGTAAGTAGATTAATGGCAATTGCTGGTGAGTTGGTTTCCAGCAGAGTTTCACCAGAGAGGGTTAATCGGAGTCAGGTCTGGAATCTTTCCCAGAACTGGCTGCCAGCCATTTCCACCAACCAATCAACCCTACAAGAAACAGAGGAAATGAAATAAAATTTGTATCCTCTGTGCCATCGTCCTGGACAGAAATTCCTTGGAAGCAGCCTCCTGGTTGGGTGCAATATCAAACTGCTTCATTTCAGCACTTTAATAGAAACTTGAACCTTCAAGATTTATCTGGGTACCAAAGCAAAGTTTCAAATGGCACAGTAAAGGTCTCCACAGAACCTTGGAAGTATTGGAAATTTCTGAGGCTCTCAGCCAATTTCAGGTTCGGAGAAATTGCAGATCACCCAGGTCCTGCCCTATATCTGTTGTCCATCAGAAGCCCTTCAAAAGTTTTGCTGTATGTTTTGCATCCTTTTTACTTATTTTTTTCCCATAGTAATGAAAATGCATTCATAGTTTAACTTGCAGCTGCATTAGTCTTGCAAAAAAAAAAAAAAAAAAAAAATCCCTGCTGAGAAATGCATATAATAGGAAAAACAGATCGGCTGGACAGCAGTGTAATTAATGCCAGAAAGGGCTGAGGCCGGTTTCATAGTTTGTCTTTTGAGGATATCAAGACGAGACCTGGTGAAAAATGACGCATGCTTTAGCATTTCAGAAAGCTGGCAACTGGCAGCGCTTTTCCTTTTTTCTTTGACTTTCTGCCGCGGAACAAAGAGGTCCGCAGAACTAGCTAGGTTGTAATGAGTTCTATGTCCCTAGCACATTAAGTGCATCATGGAAACATATTGTATCGAAATAGTTTGGAGGAGAATACTGGGGATGAAAGAGAATGGGTGCTTTGATCAGCTCCCTGGGGTCCTGAGCGCGCACAGACTGACTTGCAAGGAGTTATTCAGCTCCAGCTAGACACACTTACAACACCATTGAAAGAAATTTGCATATCTGTAATTTATCACATTGGTCCAGAACATTATTGCAAGGTAAATAAAAGTTAGTTGAATAAAAAAAATCAATCATCGCAGATATAGAGAAAACTGTGAAGCCAGTCTTTCCACTAAAAAATAGAAATAAATATGTCTATAAAACATAATGACTTAGAAGCAGCTGACTATTTTAAAATGCCTTTAGAACAACAGGTTATGCACTGGCAAAAACAAGAGTGGCCACAATTTCTTTGCCTTTCTGCTTTAAGGGAGTGTATTCACTGCTTCTCACTGCAATAAAGTTGAGATGTGTTTGGCCATAACCAGCCTGCAACATGTAGACAAAAATTAGTACACACTTTGAGTAGATATGAAAGACCACTTAATGTCTCTAGCATTTGCAAATGCTAAGATTAAATCTCATTTATTCTTCTGTTGATTTCATTCCTAAGCCTTGTTTGCTGAATTTAGCTCAAGAGGATGAAATGTCCAGAGATCCGGTCAATAGGAAAACTTGCTTTCGAATGCCCCATGAGAACAAGTGAAAATTTAACAGGCAGGCATTGTTCTGAGTTTTGAAACAACCCAGTTAAACAGCAAACAAGAATCTTCAACTTGACCTTGAAAAAGGCTGTGTGCCTGCAGATAATCTATCAAACAACTCTAGATGACAATGATATATTTCGAAGTATTGTCAGATGAAAAGATTGATAAATTTGCTGTTGCAAAGAGAGAACTTTGGAAACAGGCAACAGGCACTTTAGCTCCCTGACTCCGCCTCCTCCTCTGTCCTCACTGCACCGTCCCCACCCCACCACCCCCAGCCGCCCTTGGGGCCAACTCGGTAGAAGGCCAGTAAATCAGCACTGTAATATTTCTTAAGGGGCACGGAAAAGCTGTGAACAGTACTTCTCATATTAAACGCAAAATTTCTTTGCTTTCGTGGGGAACAAAAGTCATAGCAAGACGTCTTTATGGCTAATTCAGTCAAAGGCACATCCCTGGTTCCCCCCGAAGAAAGGTCAGTGTCGTTGTGTTCGGTCCACCGAGGGGGTGTTTTCACACTGAAAACTGAGCCAGCTGTCCCTGTCATACCCTCGCCATTGGGGAGCGCGCACTAGCCATGGTTATTAGGCACTTCTACACCTGCAAAATACACCGATTTCCAAGACTTTTCAAGACACCCTCCCGTTCTCATGCCCCGTCCTCTTGTCTGCTAAACTTTGACAACACAATTCAAGCCCTGGATGAAAGCGCTGCACGCAAGAAGAACCCTTGGGAGGGGTGGCCCAGCTACCATCTCCCGGTGTCTATTGAGCGGCCATCAAAGAAATGAGGCGTCAAGTGTGTTTTCAGAAGTATGGAAAAACTTCCAGATAATCGCTTTGAGGTGTCACACATCTGCTATTGCCACACATGCCAGCTGTTGAACCCTAATATTTTATTATATGCACCGGTGTGAGGTGTGGGGTTGCAGCCAGGCGTCCTTCGTGTAGAAGTGGCTTGTTTTAAAATTTGTAATTATCATGTCACTGACAAGCGCCAGGAGATACAATTTTTTTGAGTTGCCCAATGCCAATGCACGTCTGTATTTTTACAATCCGAATGCCAACGCTTGCCGAACTAGGTTTCATCAAACTTCTTCTAGAAACATCCCCTAGCTAGACTCACCCTAAATCCACTTCCAAACGCTTGCACTCCAGAGATAGGCGACTAACTAGCTGTTTGGGAGACGTCCAGCGACTCAAACAGGAAAGGAGCTAGAAGGGATCCTGTGCAGTCGCTGAAGAGAAATTGTAAAACTAGAAATAATTCAGAGTAAGTATCTTTAAGAGCGAGAATGCCCCAAGGTGCCAGTACCTCTAAGACAGGAGGGCCAATGTAACTAGCTTTCTCCATCCGCACTTACATAGGGCCTAGGAGTGGGGGTAGGGAACCAAAGAGTCCTATCTGGCTGCGGGTTGGGGGGAGGGGGCGAGGAGAGGAGAAGAGCGCATTTAATTAACCGGCGGTGTGTCTCTAATCCTCATCTTTGTCTAATCCACCCAAACTGCGGAGTTCTACATGAGAAGTCCCTAGAGTGCGCGAGGTGCAGAGGTGCCCAGGACGCCTTGGGTTCCTGGGACACGGGCAGAGGTGAAACACCCCACATGCCACAGGAAGCGGGAGGGGGTGCCGCTCGCCAGTAGGGAACCCTAAACTATTTCCTGAAGGCTTGGGGCCTCCACACAACCCGCCTCCACGAGTAAAGCGCCGGCGCCTCTCCAAAGCGATGTCAGCGCAACAGGTTGTTTGGAACAGGTGCCGGCCAGCTAGGGATGGGATTGGCATTAAGCTGCGGGGATCAGTCAAGGGTCAAGACTCCCCGAGAAGCAAGGGCAGACCCCCAGAGGTCTGAAAGTGGGGACTGGCTAGAAACCTGCGCCCCCCGCCACTGTCGCTGCCAGCGCTGGCGCCTCAGCCCGGAGGCAAAAACCAGCTCGCCACAACCTGCGCCCCGGGTCACGGGGCCCTCTGCAGGCGGCCGCCCGAGGGCTTCCCGCCCGGCTGCGGGGCGTAGTTGCCCCGGGCCTCCTCCTAAGAAACCTGGGGTCCCATCCCCAGGTCGTCTTCTGGCCGTTCGCTCCCCTCCCTGCTCGCTGCTTCCTGGAGCCCCTCTTGGAGACTTCCATGCGCAAAGACAGCAGAACTGCGGAGAGCAAGGCGTCGGGGAGCCACTTCCAGCCTCGAGCGAAGACAGGCAGCACCGGAGTCCCGAATGCCCCTGGGAGCAAGGGCTAGGCGGGCCTCCGGGGACACTCGTCCGACTCCACCCCGGCTCTCCGGAACCCTGGGAACGCGGAGCAGCGGGCGGGGCGCATGCGCGCCTCCGGCCAGGGTCCCTCCCCGGCCTGCTGAGTTTGGGGAAAGTTTGGCGAGGTTTGCCCTGGCAGCGGCGGATGTCCCAAAGACCAGACTGCCCTGGGGATGCAGCCAGGATCCCCCCAGAGTCCCAGGAGCGGGCTCGGCAGGAGCCCGAGGGCTGAAAAGCGGCAGAAGGTGGGGAGAGGGAGGCCTTTTGTGTGTGGCACAGGAGAGTCACTTGCGCACAAACGCAGCAGCGCGCTCCGCCGCCGCCTCAGCCTCCACCGCAGCACCTCCGCCTTAGAGGCGCTTCATTACAGCCGAGCCCTTCCCCCGCCTCCCCCAGGCCCTGGCCTTTGTTCTGCTTGAAAGTAATGCTGTGAATTAAAAGAAATGACAATATTTTCTAT